AACTTTCAGAATTCCTCAGCCAGCATTCCCTCTGCCTGGGGAATTCTGGGAATTAAAATCCATACAGTTGCTGGGGTTCAGAAACACTGATGCATAGCAATACAATGAATTCTGAATCATGTTTAAACAGGAGTTGAGATAGAAACTGTTATGAGGAAGAGTATATAAGCTTTTACACATGGAATATGATATGTCCACAGGTTTTTTTAAAAAGTATGCTGCAAGGCAGTTTTACCCAGTTCTCACTTTATCATATCTAATATTCAGGAAAGCCACTTTTGGAGACACAATGTCATTTGCTTTGCAAAAAGATTTTGACTCTTCCGTAAGTTGAGAACTTTTGAAAATGCTGCCCCAAGCATTCCCTTGATCTATACAAAGTTAGCATCCTCTGTTAAAAGTGAAAGAGGGTCCTAGACAGAATTTAACAGCACAGACTGCCAAACTTTCTCTCAGATATCTCAGCTATACTTCTGTAATAGTTCATGAAATTCTGCATAATCCTGTAATATGGGAGGTACACTGAAAAAGATTGCTTTGCCTTTTATTTTACATCATTATGAGTAAGAGCTGCTTCAGTCTTAAAGCCACAGACAACAGTGGTGGGCAAAGTCTTTGAGATAACCTACCACAGTTATTGTTTTCATGGAGAACTGAATGCTTTGGTTGGTTAGGAAGGAACTTAATGCCCAGGACCAAGAACAATGAAACCAATTTTCCAGCACAAAATGATTTTATTTAGCTAATTTAAATGTTTATGTTTTTCCCCTTCAGAAGTTTTGGATTTAGACCATAATTCTCTCAATACACTCAACACAAATTATCTTTGTTTTCAAAGATCCTGGCTAGGAAAGTCATACAAATGGGAAGGGCAGGGGTTCTTTCACTTTCCTAGTGCAATGAGCACTATAATCTTGAGGATATAGTTAAGTGTTATTCTGAGGATGACTTATTATATTTGTATTAAAACAGTGCTTCTTACAGTGTGTTAACATATTTCTAGATATGTTAAAGCTGTTGGTTCCTTGGAATGTTTATATGATTGTTTCACAGGAAAGTTCACATGTGTTTGTGCATGCACAGGCAACACTTGTGCTGGAATTATGCATGCACCCAGACACATAGCCTACAGTTCCAAAGGATATGACTCCTTTAACTCTTGAAATGTTCTCTTTTAAATGGTAAAGCAATCATGTCCTTTGGAATGGTAGACTATGAGTCTGGGTGCATGCATAACTAATGCATAACTTTATTTAGTAATGCATAACACTAATGCTAACATGCTTTTGAATGCTTTGCATGGACCTATTTTAAATGATTTATTTCAACCTTTTCCAATCTCCTGTCTTATATAGATTTGAGGCTTTCTAGTTAGAGTGATTAAGAGAAATTACCATTCCCAGAAGTCAAAATTGTAAAGTACTTATAAAAATATGAAAAATTTCTTTTACACATGAAAAGTGCCTTCCATTCACATAAGGCTGTTCTACACCATGTGCTCAAACAATCCATGAAATAAAAGCAATCAAAATCAAAGACATTAATTTCCTTTATAAGAATGAGAACTAGTACTAAACCTGCAGTGCAAAATCATAGATTTTGTATGAAAATTTGTTTAAGAACCATAGCAGTTGGTTTTCTTCTGTTCAAAGTCCTTGAGATACAGAACAAGTTTCCAAGTGAATCAGTTTGACTGCAAAACAAAATGGATAGTGGCAGCTTTCTGGTCAAGCTTTCCAGATAATAAGAACCATGGTAATGTAAGGCTTAGTTCAGTGGTGGGATTCAAAAATGTTTAATATCGGTTCTGTGGGCATGGCTTGATGGCCGTGGTGTGGCTTGGTGGCCGTGGCAGGGGAAGGATACTGCAAACTCCCCATTTCCTCCCAATCAGCTGGGACTCGGGAAGCAGAGAATAGATGGGGTGGGGACAGTCAGAGATGGTATTTACCGGTTCTCTGAACTACTCAAAATTTCCACTACCGGTTCTCCAGTATATCACCTCTGCCTTAGTTGTTCACTTAGCATAACATTTATATATAGCATATAGCATTTCACTGAATCCCTATCTTTACAACTGTACAACTGATTTCCTTCAAGCTATTCTAGAAGGAGTGGCAGCAAGTGAATACATATCATAGATTCCATTTCAACATGGCCCTGACCTCTGCTTTTACACAGCCCAATCTCTCTCATTTATTCCAACTATCAACATGACCTGCAATTTTCAAAATGCAAAAGAGCAAAGAATAATCCCAATTTGCTCTAGATAGGCCTTCTTTCCATTTGTTATAGAAATCAAAACTGCAAATCTGAAAATAATAAATAAGTACAAAAAACAGAAGACAAATTTCTACTGAGGTATTGTATATATCACTGCTTTCCCAACTTTTTCCTTTATTACCCAAAACTGCTTATTAGTAAGTCCTTATTTTAATGCCTCTGTTGTGATTGGGCAATAGATTTAATGCCTCTGTTGTGATTGGGCAATAGATACCCAATTTTTGGTAATCTACTCAGGTTTGAGAAATCCTAGTATATATGAACTCATGGGACAAGATCACTTGCATCCAGATTCGGTGTTTCAATTAAAAGTTCTCATACGTTTATGGTTGCAGGCTTGTCTCTACAATATATGATGGGAAGGAACAGTGATTTTCCTGATTCCCAGTGACATAGAAAGAGACCAGTGTTATTTGATTGTAAATGTGTTAACAGCAGCTAAAATTGTATTTGCTAAAAACTGGAAAAATGAGAAAATACCAACGCAGGAGGAAGTTATTCATAAAATAATGGAATATGCTGAAATGAGTAAATTGACATTTGAAATTAGAGAACAAGAAGATAAACAATTTTATAAGATATGGGATTTATTTTACCAATGGTTAGACCCCAAAAAATGGTATTGAAATACGACTGAGAATCTTACAATATCCTTGTATTGAATGACACAGAATATAACATAAAGATGTACTATTTTTGGATGGATTTAGGAGGACTAAATTGTCAAAACCTATCCAGAAATCATTAGCGTTTTTTGGACAATGGTTTCAAACCAAAAATTCTCAGTCAACCAATGTTTGCTTGCCAAGCAATATCTGAATGTTTTACAATATTCTGGTTTCTCTTCAGATCATATACAAATTTCAGCTCTACAACCATTGTGGCTGATGTCTAAACACACGCCACTTTCCTCTCTTCACAAAAATAATGGAGAATTAAATGTTAATGTTTCCCCATATTTTAGGATGAGCACTTCTGTTGACTTCAGAACTCCTAATGCTAGCAATGCCATAACTTTTCCATTTGTGGTCCTTTACCTAAATACAGTATGTCCACAGGCTGCTCTGATGGACTCTCTGAAGGTAAATTTAAAAACTCCTCCAGTGAGAGCACAGGCTGTTCCTTCAAATAATTTTTGAGGTGGCATTTGCTGCCATGAACTAGTATTTTTCTGCCCCCTGGATACAACAGTGCTGGCAAAAGAAGATACCAAAGCATCAACACCACTCCTGGATTGTGTAGTCATGTGATCAACTTGCATGTGTACCAGGACTGTTCCTTTGTCTGGAAGACCTCCTAGTATGTTTTGTGCAGGATTTGTTGGAAACACTGCAGATGAACTTCACATGTTGTCTGCACTCTCCAGATGTTTTTTGTCAATGTGACTTTAATGTAACTGTAAGCCTATTTAGCGTCCTCTCTCCTCCTCCCCATATGAATCTTCATCAGATTTGCTTTATTCTATGAATAAAGTTTGGGAATTATTTGGTATAACATTTGGAAATATTTGCATGTATTGACCAAAATCTATACAGCCATAGCAATAAAGAGGTAAGCCCAAGATCAGACAGGTTAAAGCCCATCTTTTAAAGAAAGCTCTGCAAAGGGATAAAATATAACCCTCATTGTGGGTTGTGTTGGAATGTTTTCATTTTTAGTGGCCTGAGTTTCTTTCTTAGTAACATTTGTTGTTATTTCCCAATCTAGTTAATTATTTTATTAGTCTTTTAGTTCTTTTACCAAAGAAAGAAATATAAGAGTCCTGCTAGACTGGAGTGGTACATAAGAGCTGAAAGCAAATAAATAAATAATTCTACTCTATAGTATAATAATAAGAGAACCAATGCTTTCATTTCAGAAATTATTTTAGTCAATCTATTAATAAATGTAACCAACAGCAAGTGTTCAATCGCGGTTCCACCACAAATGCGCGAATGACAAAAGCACGCCTGACTAAACCGCGGTGACAAAACTGCACCGACAAAACCGCGCCAACGAATGAGCGCTGAAGCGCGCCGACAACAGCGCGCCGACAGAAGCATGCTGTAACCCTAACCCTAAACCTAACCCTAAACCTAACCCTAAACCTAACCCTAAACCTTACCTTAACTGAAATCGTGCTTCTGTCGGCGCGCTGTTGTCGGCGCACTGTTTGACATCGCGGTTTTAGCGCCGCGGTTTTGTTGGCGCGCTTTTGTCGTTCACGCATTTGTCGGGTCACGTTCAATTGCTCCATATATTGATATATTTGTTTCTCCAAAATAATGCTTTAGGGATGTTCCGAAATTAGGAAGTATTTTGCAATATCATATCTTAGGCGTAATGCTTTGTGCAAGGATGAGGCTAAAGTTGCCAAATAAAAAATGCCTCAAAGTTGTGATGTATTCTCAAATTAGGAAACATGCCTATTTTGTTCAATACAGCATGCCTGTATTCACATCAGCAATCCATCCATCCATCCATCCAGCCAGCCAGCCAGCCAGCCAGCCAGCCAGCCAGCCAGCATAACAAAGGGGGGAGAGTGAGATTTCAACCTTGTGCCCCTTCTAATTACATTTCACTTATCTTTGCTAAGACAACTCGGACATTTTTGTCTCCTCCTTGCTGATAGCTTCCCACTATTTGATTCATCTAGAAGATATTTTGTTGCTTTCTTTTAATAACCCATTGTCTTCCCCTAATTTCAGTCATTTAACTTGGTGCTTTCTTTGGCATAGACTTACGCCCCTTGGATCTTCTCTCTGAAGTGGTTCCCCTGAACTGGGTGAAAAGTGGAATACGAATGATCCAAATCCAAGGAGCACGTGGCTTCCAGCTTTCTGCAACAAACCCTCGCTTCCTCAATTTTCCAGCATCACGGATTTTCATTTACTGTGACTTATTCCCAGAGGAATTCTCCATTGTATTTACTATAAAAACTTCCCACAAGCAATTCAGGGTAAGCATGCGGTAGATTTTATCCAAGAGCAGAATTTTTGTTTCTTCAAAATTAAGATTACTGTAGCACTGGTGTATTTGGTTTATAATTCTGGATGTTATAATCTCATTAATTTAGCAAGCTTCACAAAATCTCTCAGGGAGTTAAGGATGTCATAATAAGTGACAAGATCACCTTTAAGCATGTTTCCTTGGATGAAAGTAGACTCAAATGCTTGATAGTACCTGTGTATTATTAACTCAAAATTATGCCGCAGCCTGTAAAATTTAATTTTCAGGGCTTTAGGCAGAGATACACATTAGTCATAGATGACAAGTTATATGTGTTTATTGATTGAACTTGATTTTAAAAAATTGCATCTCTTTGAGAACACAGAACTTGGAGAACATCCTGAGGTTTGAAAGTGATTTTTCTTTTATGGGCTGTGAAACTACAGGAAGCAAAATTAATTAAGGATTAATCCCAAATTAATCTTTATTTATACATGAACCCCAACTGAGTCAATGAGCCTTATTTCTAAGTAAACCCTCGGATTTATTTAGGAATAACAGGAGTCACAAAAGAAGGGAAAGCAGAATGCAGTAGATTGTTACTCTAGTTCAGTGTTTCCCAACTGTAACAACTTTAAGAATCCCCCAGGTTGAAGTTGGTGCACACATCTTAAAGTTGTTAAGGTTAAGAATACTGATTTAGTATAATGTAGGTATACTGAGAGACCTGGATCCACATCTGTTCTTGGTTTCGAGTTTGTTGTGATGTTGGATAGTGGTGTTATTTTTAGTCCATCTTGAGGTGAAAATGAAAATGTGAAGAGAAGGCTCATATGATCTAAGTTGAGGGGTTAACAGAATAGGAGAGATATAAATGTATTCATAAATTCAATTTGGAATCTTATTGGCTTCCAAATTGTCTAACTAAAGTAGATTAAGTAAACAAACCAATTTTGTATTGCTATTGTTCTAAAACAAAAAAAATAGAGATAGACCCACTACTGGCTGAATGACTACACTCACCCTGTGCTCACTAAAAACTCTACTTCACCTTGAAAGAAAGAATGGAGTGGAAGGCCACAGGGCTTCGTCCTGATCCTTCCGATGTTCAACATTTTAACAATGACCTGGATTATTATCACATGTTTGGCTGATATATAGCTGACAGAGTGGAGCTAACCCTTTGGAGGAGACACAGAAGATTCAAAAAGCTCTAGACCAACATAAGCAATGGGCTGAAATAAATAGGATTATATTTAACAGGGAGAAATGTACTATTGTACACCTTGGTAGGAAAAAATGAAAGACACAAATATTGCATAGGAGAGAATCTGGCTTTGCAGCAGCACCCATAAAAAGTATCTGGTTCTATTTGACTCCATATTAACCATGAGCCAACAGTACTAAAAACATTTTTTTAAAAAAAAAAATCAGGTGCATTAACAGGAACATCAAATCTAGACCATGGAAAGTAGTAGTTCCATTCTGCTCTGTCCTTGTTAGATCCACTTGAAATACTGTTAGTTCTGGCCATTCAAGGCCAACACACCTTCCTCCTATTTTCCCCACAACAACCTTGTGAAGTTGGTTGAGCTGAAAGTGACTAACTGGCCAAGGTCACCTAGCTGCCTTTCATGGCTAAGGCAGGATTTGAACTCATATTTTCTTGTTTTCTAGCCTGATGTCTTAACAACTGTCTCTAAACTATTGATAAAATGTCACAGTTGCCTTAACTCTAAAAATTTTTTTTTACTAATGTGTTCAAAACTATAGGAGTTTTTGAGGCATCCGATACATCTGGTTGAAACAAATGGTCTATTACATGTTTTAACAGAATGTATTATCATTCATCTATTTGGCAAATTATGTTCTTTTTGCAGTCTTTCAAAAACTTTAGAAGTGCCTTCTGGAGTCTGTGTGTGAATAAACACAATAGTATTGTACTATATTACAAGAGAGACTAATACATACTGATGAAATGATGAAAGAATGTTTATGGAAGAATGAAAAATTTCTAAAGAGGGTTTTAATTCATTTGTAAACATATGTATGCCTTGAAAAGCCAGTTTGTTTTGCCTCGATTGGCTCCTCCTGAACTATCTTTACCCTGGCTTATTAGTCACTTTGTAGTGATAAAAGCAGAGGATACTATATTTACTTACTGTCACAATAGGGTAAAAGTCAATGAATAAATTATATCAGAAGTGTCTTTTAAGGTACTAGAATGATTGCTACATATTTATACACCTGGAAGTATTCATAACAAATGAGCTTTTATTTACTCCAGTCCAGGGATGGTAAGAAATTGATCAGTTATCAGAAATTAAACTTAATGGAGAACAGAATTACCCGTATTTTTCAGAGTATAAGACGCATCTTTTTTCCTCAAAAAAGAGGCTGAAAATCTGGGTGCATCTTATACACTGAATACAGCATTTTTGCCTCCTGAAGCCCCACCCCTTCACCAAAATGGCCATGCATACCCTTATGGAAGCTTTCAGAGAACTCATGGGGGCTGGGGAGGGCAGAAATGAGCAAAAAGCAGGCCATTTTTGCCCCCCCTCCCCGCAACACTCTATAAGCCTCCATAAGGCTATGCATGCAATTTTTTGAACCAAAAACGGCCCCCTTTTTGCTCATTTTTGACCCCCCACCCCCTGGAGCACCCTTCAAGCCCCCCCGGGCTATTCATGCCTTTTTTTGGAAAAAAAAATGGGCCCGTTTTCATGAAAAACGGGCCATTTTTGGGAGGTTTGCAGAGTGCAAAAACTTTTTTTTCCTTTTGGAAAGCTCTTTAACTGATGATTGATCAAGTGCTGTGCCAGCAAAAACACCTACCTGTCTACTGTATTTCTCTCTCTCTCTCTCTATTTCTCTCTCTCTCTATCCCTCTACCTACCTACCTACCTACCTACCTACATACATACATACATACCTACACACACATACTCTCTCCCTATTCCTTTATCTACCTACCTATCTAGCTAACTACTCTCTATCTCTCACTACCCATCTACTGTATTTTTCTCTATCCCTCTACCTACCTACCTACACACACTCTCTCTATTTCTCTCTCTCTCTCTATCCCTTTATCTACCTACCTATCTTTTTTTAAAAAAATTTCCTCTTCAAAACCTTTGTGCATCTTACACTCTGGTGCGTCTTATACTCCGAAAAATACGGTAGATTAAACAGTGGAAGGATGTTGTGAGTTTGATTCTGGTGCTGATCATGCTCTCAATAGATCCTCAGCCTTGATCCTATGTATTTTTTAATTATTATAATATATTCCCACATTATCGAGACACTATTTTGTATTATACCAGAAAGTCTCCAGAGAGAGGATATTAAGTGAGGGTACATCAGTGACGTGCAGTCAGAGGAGGCAGGGGAGGCCGAGCCTCACCACTGTCATGAAAAGAAAAAAAGATGTAAAAGGAAAAAGGCAAGAGGTGAGGTCAGGCTGAACTAGTTGCTGCCAGAGTCACCGTGGATGACTCTGCTTAGTGCTTAACTGTTTAAAAAAGCCTCTACAGGAGGAGGCAGGAGAACGACGTGCTTCATCGAGTCTGACTTTAGGCATTTTATGATCACCTGAGCAGAGTTAAGCAAGGGTTAAAAGCCAAAAAATTCCTGACGTAGATGAGGCACGTCATTCTCCTGCCTCCTCCTGTAGAGGGCACTTTTTTAGAGGCTTTTTTAAACAGTTAAGCAGAGTCATCCATGGTGACTCTGGCAGCAACTAGCTTAGCCTGACCTCAGCTCTTGCCTTTTTCCTTTTACATTTTTTTCTTTTCATGATGACAGGCAAGAGCAGAGTTGAAATCCTCTCTGAAACAGCTGGAAAAGGTACATGTGGGTGGGAGGGAGGGGGAGGAATTAAAACTTCATCCTCCTGGTGCAGGGCTTTGGGCAAAGGCTGGAGGGAAGTGCTCTCCCTCCCCAAGTGTAGTTTGATTGCAGGCAGACCCACGTTGTCTTTTCAAACCTGTAATCAGTGAAGCTGGGCTGGATCCTTCCGGGGCTGGGGGAAAGTGTGTGTGCTCCAGTATGGCTCTTTGACTGGCTTCCTGCCTCCTCCTGTGGTCTACCTGACTCCCTCCAATCCAAATTTGTGTGTGTGTGTGTGTGTGTGTGTGTGTGTGTGTGTGTATGGAGGGAGAGAGGGAGGAAGGAGGGGAACGGGGAAGAAAAAGAAAAAGAAAGAAGGAAACTTATTTTGCAAAGGAGAAAAACAAATGCTGTCGCTTTAAATCGGAACTGAGCATGCCTGGCTGTGGAATTCTGGGGGTTGAAGTCCACAAGTCTAAAAAAAATTGTGTCAGTGCCTCACCAGCCATAAACCTCACTGCACGTCACTGGGGTACATAATGATATGTGTATAAACCTTTGATCATTATAATTATCAGTAGTACATAGGGACACCCCATTTCCTTCTAGGTCAACTAACAAGAAAAGTCAATTCAGGCTCCAATATTCTTCATCCAAATTATGATTTATTAGGAAGATTGATGTGAATAAAAAGGAGTAAAAATGGTCATTATATAGGGCATATGTACAACTGGAATTCCAGTAAATTGCATCAGGGCCTTTCATATGTGCACAGTGTTTAAGAAATGTCACAATAATTGTTACATTTTTTTTAATCCTCTGAGTCAATGCAGCTTTACTGCATTCTAACTATGCCAAAGCTCTTATAAGGAAATATTGTCTTTCCAGACTAACTGATTTCATTAACTATATTTTCAGAGAAATGAATACATCTTCACAGTTTTGGATGAAAACAGTGACACGCTGCAACTAGGACTCCGATATTCACAGAGTAAACTGCACTTTCTCTTCTGGAGCAGAGACCTTTTGAATGGTTGGCAGACACAAATTACTTTTCGGGATGTCTTTTTGGCGGACAACCAGTGGCATACGCTTGTATTGGCAGTATCTCAAGCCTCCTTCTCTCTCACTGTGGACTGCAGCATCCCCATAGATGTGTACGTGAAGCACGTACAATTCAGGGGTAATTTAACCTTAACCACCTCCCCTGAGTTAGGGCTGCAAGGGGTTTGCACACCTCAGCTGGGTGTTCATTTGGTTCATGTTGATTTCTCCAGCAGAGCTATTTTCTCACCTAAGTATCACATGTTCTTCCCCCAAACCCCCCATATATCCCAAAGAAGCATCCCAATCCTTTATCATCTAGAAAATACAGTTGCAAATATGGTAGATAACCAAAGACGTAAGAAATAGGTGTCATAATCCTGTTAGAGTAATCAAGGAGCACACATATCAATTACATTCATAGCAGGAACATTTTTAAGGCAAGGAAAAATCTATATGAATATGTGAGTACTACAGTGATGAATCCCCCCCCCAAATAATCCTAATCCTTAATACCCTGAATTACAGGCATCATGTTATGTGAAGTGCATTAAGTATACTTAATGTACTTGTCTGGTCAGCTCAGGATTTTCAAAAAATGGCAAACAAAAAATATTGTAGGGACATTAAAAATATAATATGCCATTGAATAGGAATGGACACTTTTGTAGAATAGTCCTATACAACTGGAAGCCCTCTAAGGAGGAGAAAATTAGTTTGATTGGCAATTAAATGCAGATTTTCTGACAGTTCCCATACACGCATATGAATTACTGTACTAGCTGTGTTATTATCATAGGTTTCTCAATTTTGTGAGTTCAAAAGATAAATATTTAAAGACACAGTGTAAACAAAGTGCATGCAACAATAACAATACCACAAAATGCATTCTATATGAAATTATATATATTTGAACAAGCAAATATAAAAATGAATGCATTATGAACTGCACATTTCATGTGGAAGAATTGCAGAGAGAATCAGAAAGAGAGAAGACTGAACTTAATGCAAGAAAATTAAGTCAAAATGAGTTTTAAATCAGAATGCACTCATTCTGCATTTGATTTCATAGTTAGCATTCATTGATTCACTTAAGCTTCCTTTTTCACTTATTTTAGGATTGCAGATACTGCTTTTCCAACATTCTTGACTATGACAGGAACTCAATTTTATATAGGAAATAGAAGAAGAAGAAAAGGTTTCTTTACAGTAAGTACAACTTATAATGTTCATTGTTCTGAAGAGATTATTCTAGGTACTTAGGTTACCTCTGCTTATTATATTTGGACTGCATTTCCCCCCTATCAATTTATTTTAATTTCATATGTTTTTCTGTCTAAGCTTCTTCAAAAGTTGCTGTTCAATGAGAGTCTATGGAATTGTTAGGTGTTCAAAGTCCCTCTATGAAAATATAGTTCCCAGGATACCATTGGAAATAGAAATCAGGATGAAATCCAGTGCACAAATCAGAGCAGTTCCCATGTAGGGTTCCAACTAGCCGTAATTATCATGTAAAGCTTTTAAAGTCTACCTCACTCCCCATTCTTTGTCTTTCTTTTTCAAGTGTTATGTACAATTCTTGAGGTCCCTTCGCATGCTTTCTTGTATGGATTTTTTATTCAAATAAGCTGATCTTTTCTTCTCCCTACTTCCATATTATCTATAGGTATTTAAATTTATGCAATAACCAACACTGTGTTCAGACACCATAAAACTCTCAGGTTAGACAAAATTCTGCACAAGGTCAAATGAACAGCTCTATTCTTTTCAGAACCGAAACTGTGGTCATATAAGAACACTATAACTTTCCTCCGTGTTTCCAAATAAATTGCAGATACTTCAGACAGAAGGGCTTCTCTTCTATTAGGGATTACTGGTGATTTCCTTTTTGCCTGTTTTTCAGATGAGTCAGCAACAAACCTTCTGAACAGATTTTGCAACAAATAACATAAGTACCTTCTCTGATTAGCAATGGGAGGATGATTGAGCAAAAGATAAACTTATTTCTTATTCTAAACTTATTTGGTCCAAGATAGGCTTGGATTTAGAGGGGATAGTGTAAAAATGGTTAAGTTGGCATTTGCTGATAAGCATACAAAACAATGGGGAGTCACCCAAATACTGAAACATCACTGCAAATATCACTTAAAGCTATCCAAAAGTCAAAGCAATGCAGATTAGAAGGAAACAGAGATATAAAACATGGTGGAACTAGTTTTCCTAAGATATTTTATTATTCCTTTAAAACCTATCAAAGCTTAATAAAATCCCAGGTGGCTCATAAAGTCATAAAATTCAGCTATGGGTGATCTTGATCTCACTATTTCTCACAATTCACCTTATAGACAAAATAGAAGGAGGAAAGTGTATTGGATATGTTCAGATATGTTCAGCAGATTAAAATATGTTTACCTGGTGGTGGAAGGATAATAAGTACCATAAGAATTGCTCTGAAGAGGGGCTAGGCCAGTGGTTCTCAACCTTCCCAATGCCGCGACCCTTTAATACAGTTCCTTATGTTGTGGTGACCCCCAACCATAAAATTGGTGTCTCAATTCCTAAGACCATCGAAAATATGTGTTTTTCTTAGGCATCCCCTGTGAAAGGGTCGTTCAACACCCAAAGGGGTCCCGACCCACAGGTTGAGAGCCACTGGGCTAGGCAAAGACATGTGATGAAATGATAGCTATTTGCATTCCGCTAAAGTAAGCAAGAGATTAATTGGGCCCTTCTTTATAAAAAAGATAGGGCATAATGTGAGAGGACATCAGGGGAAGTGTAAGAATAGAGGAAAAGAGACATCAATATATAGAAAAGAAAAGACACAAATAAAGCAATGCAGAAAGGTAGCATTGTCCTTACCGATTACTATTACCTAAATTAACAGAACAATAACAATAGTTTGTTAACAATAAATGTAACAAACTGGTGCATAATGCTCTAAACTGTAGTGATATACAAAGCAGCTTTGGGATTTGGGTAATAGAATCTTATGAGTTTAAATTACTTTTTACTAGAACTCTGAGAAGAAAGCCAGCTTGGTATAATGCTGTAATGGTGAACCTATGACATGTTTCCTGG